TCCTAGATTTATACCATTACATTTAGTCACATTAAAACGCTTATTGATCACTCTAGTGACCTATTCTCTTCGTTATTTACCACGCCCCAATTTTTGTGCCATCAGCAAACTTGATTGTGGTATTGTTTTACAGGTTACTTATCAAAATATTAAACAGCATAGGGGGAAAAAATCAATCCCGGTGGGTCCCTACTAGAAATACACTTAGTCTTTGGTTAGCCTTTTAAAATTACGTTTTGAATTCTGTGAATTAGCTCGTTTTTAATTCATTTAATGCGTGCCATGTTAGTTTTCTATTTTTCTAGTTCTTTAATCAAAATGTCATGTGATATTGAGTCAAATGCTTTACAGGTAGTCTAAATATATAACATCAACACTATTACCTTTATCAACCCAGCTTGTAATTTCATCAGAAAAAGACACTGTTAGTCCGACGAGCTATTTCCATAAACTCATGTTGAGTGTCCTTAATTAAATTACCCTTCTTTAATTCTTTATTAATCAAGCCCCCTAACAGCTGCTCCATTAACTTGCCTGAGTTCAGTGTTAGACAGACAGGTTTTTAATTAACTGAGTCACCTTGGCTACTCTTTTTTTAAAATATTGGCACAACATTAGCTAGCTTTCTTTCAATTTTCCAAGACAATGATAATCAACATTAATGGTTCAGAAAAACCCTCAGCCAGCTCTTTTAGAATTCTTGGATGTAAGTTATTTGGTCGTGCTGAGTTTAAAATGTCTACCATTAGTAGCTTCTGTTTAATATCTTCCTGAGATACTAGTGGAATAGAAAGAGCATTACCATCATATGACGATTCTACAGCATGTTTCTTTCCCGGGAGTTGTCTCTGACCCTTCTCTTTAGTGAGAAATCACGGGGGGATGTTCTCGAGTATGGATCTTCATACTCTTCAGCCAAGATGGCTCTTTGTCTTTCCATTATGTCATGCCCTCCTAACCATTGTGTATAAGCTGAGGGAGTTATGGGCTGTACTGGCATCAGAAGTCTGTAGGCATTCAGGCTCTTTGATCAGAGTCCAAGCGCATGCTGCTTTCCAAGAGCCTTGCTGAGGCTGTATCTACACTTAAACCACTGCCGTGCTGCTATAGTGAGTCCATGTAGCCACTTGCTACCACGCTGCTATAGTGAGTCCATGTAGCCACTCGCTACCACAAGGGATTCTCCCATTGCTGTAGTTAGTCCAGCTCCAGCAGAGGTGGTAGCCGACAACTTCAGGGCGTAGGTCAATTTAAAGGCATTGCTCAGCACGGTGGGTTTTTCACACCCCTGAGTAATGTAGCTGGGTCAACTTAACGTTTTAGTGTAGATCTGGCCTATGAGAGGGGAATGGAGGAGAGGAACCGGGCTGATCTCCGCACAGACCAGTGGTTACAATGCACTTCTGTTGATAGGTTGTGCTCACCAGTCTTCACTGAGTCTCTGTGATGGCGCAGTCGGGGGTTCCCCTGATCCTGCACCCCTGTAGCATCCAGAACAGTCTCCACCAGCCAGTAGAATAGAGAGGGGTTTATTGATTTTCCAGAATACAGCACAGCACGTAGATGATGTGGCTACCGGGGGCAGGGCCAGGATGCGTCAGACCCTAGGGTTAGGGTCCATCACCCCTAGCCCCCAGCTTAGCCTATTCTCTTCATGCTTCCCCGACAGCCACTGCCTCCCCCCAAGGCCCTGCCCCCCAGCCAGGTGTTAGTCTCCGCCTTCCTCCCATTGTCTCTCTCCCTGGGAGGCTGAGCCGGGGTGTCTGGGTTAATACACATGTGGGTGAGTCAGTAGGAAGCAGGGGGACTCCGGGTTACAGAGCAGTACCCCCACTATGCCTCAGTCTCCTGCTAGATCTTTTGGATTCTCAGATAGCTGGGGAGGACATCAGCACTTTTGCTAGGTGGACTGAGGGGGGATATGATAGAGGTCTATAAAATCATGAGTGGTGTGGAGAGGGCAGATAAAGAAAAGTTATTTATTAGTTCCCATAATAGAAGAACTAGAGGACACCAAATGAAATTAATGGGGAGCAGGTTTAAAACTAATAAAAGAAAGTTCTTCTTCACACAGCGTGTAGTCAACCTGTGGAACTCCTTGCCAGAGGAGGCTGTGAAGGCTAGGACTATAATAGAGTTTAAAGAGAAGCTGGATAAATTCATGGAGGTTAGGTCCATAAAAGGCTATTAGCCAGGGGATAAAATGGTGTCCTTGGCCTCTGTTTGTCAGAGGCTGGAGAGGGATGGCAGGAGACAAATCGCTTGATCATTGTCTTTGGTCCACCCTCTCTGGGGCACCTGGTGCTGGCCACTGTCAGCAGACAGGATACTGGGCTAGATGGACCTTTGGTCTGACCCAGTACGGCCGTTCTTATGTTCTTATGTTCTTATGTAAGTGGTTGTGACCCGCTATCTGAAAAAATGATTCCCTTGTCAAGAAAAAATTCCAAGGAAATGAACAGTTTCCTTTTGTGCTGAAAATTTTCTTTGTGGAATTTTTGGTTTATTTAAAATGCTTTAGGTGGGACATTTGATCCCCCTCCTCCCCGCCATTTTCTGTGACTTCCTCCCCTGCCTTCTTTTCTTTTCTTGGGGTGCACTGGAAAAGAAAGAGAGGTAAAATATCACACACTTGAGAAAAAAAAAGTGTTGAAAATGTTGCAGTCAAAACACCCCAAAATGTAACCCAATGTGGAAATTGTTTGCAGATATTTTCCTTCTGATGAGAAAAAAAAGGGGGTTTTCATCACAAAAAAAGGTTTTCGGTGAAAATTGTTGTGCAGCTGTAATGATGACATTTCCCTTCAGGCAATCAGTCTGCCATGACTGACAAAAGGAGTGCCTTCTATTTAATGTATTGTAGAGTAAGTTAAGAGGCGACATCATCTCATCTACAAATACGTACAGGGTGAAGAGATGCCTGACAGCAGACAGCTCTTTAAGCTAACAGAAAAAGGCGTAACAAGAGCCAGTGGCTGGAAGCGGAAGCTAGATGAATGCAGACTAGAAATAAGGTTCACATTTTTTAACAGTGACAGATAATTAGCTACCGGAACAATATATCTAAGGTATGATGGGCTCTCTATCACTTGAAGTCTTTAAGTCAAAACTGGATGTCTTTCTAAAAGATCTGCTGTATCTCAAACAAAAAATATGGGTGTGATTCAGAAACTGTTAGGCCCTGTGGCCTTTGTTATGTGAGCGGGTCAAAGTAAACGATTATTCAGTTCCCGTCAGCCCTTAAAACCTATGAATTCATCAATGACTTTGTAGGCTCCTTGTTAGTTGCATGATGGCTTGCTTGGTGCCTATTGCACCAGTTCTCAGTAGGGTGTTCTGGCTTCAGTTGTGTCTCTGGGTGCCACTTAAGCTGTTGGCATAGATCCATAGAATCCCTACGGCTACGTCTACACTGGCACCCTTTTCCGGAAATGCTTAAAACGGAACAGTTTTCCATTAAAAGCATTTTTGGAAAAGCGCGTCTAGATTGGCAGGATGCTTTTCCACAAAAGCACTTTTTGCGGAAAAGCATCCGTAGCCAATCTAGACGCGCTTTTCTGCAAAAAAGCCCCGATCGCCATTTTCGCGATCGGGGCTTTTTTGCGGAAAAGAAATCTGTGCTGTCTACACTGGCCCTTTTCCGGAACAGTTTTCTGGAAAAGGACTTTTGCCTGAACGGGAGCAACATAGTTTTTCCGGAAAAGCACTGATGATTTTACAGTAAATTGTCAGTGCTTTTCCAGAAATTCAAGGGGCCAGTGTAGACAGCTGGCAAGTTATTCCGGAAAAGCGACTGATTTTCCGGAATAAGTGGCCAGTGTAGACACAGCCTACATGTGTTGGTTCCTGGATGCTTCAGAGAACACCGGCTAATTAAAGAGGTGAGTGGTTAGGTGCTAGGTGTGTCATGTAGGGATGTGAGAAAAGGTGTAAGATAAAGGTAAGGAAGGCTACTTAATCCTGCATCTTCTTCCATTATCCCATCAGAAGCTTTTTCTGCCCCGCCTCTTTCTTCTAACCCCTTGGCAAGTAATTTTCACCAGCTTAGACTCTGTTTCGTTCATTTGCCAGATGTGGGCCTGCCTCTCTCTCTCTCTCGCTGGGGCACTTTTGCCCACAACCTGTAGATTTGAACTTTGCAGGCCTGTAGGGGGAGGTCTCAGCTCTGGAATTCACATCAGCTTTTGGGTAGACAAAGCCAAGGGCTGAATTCTGCTCTCTGTGACACAAGGGTGCAATGTCATTGACTTCACTTGGAGTTGTTCCTGCTTTACACTGGAGTAATGGAGAGCAGAATTTGGCTCCAAGTCATGATCTTCTAGTGATGGTGAAAGTTACACCTTTGGACTTAGGCTTTTGCCTGCTGGTGTGATTAGAGGATCTGTTGTTGTCACTAGAGCTGGTTGAAAAATGTCCATAATTTTTTTTTCAGTGGAAAATTGGGGATTTGATTAAATGAATTTTTTTTCACAAAGTGAGTGATTTCCAGTTTTGAGTAGTCTTGATTTCCAGCTGAGTCAGATACCAGACTACATTTTCCATGTTGCACCTTGTTCCGACCTTGGGATTCCTATGGAACACCAGGGTGGCTCTGTAGACAGAACTATTGTGATGAATCCTGGGAAGTGTGGTCCAACAAGGGAGTCTGGCCTATAGTGGAGCAGTGGGTATATGAAGTATGCAAACTGCAGCTCCCATGAAGCATTGCACTGGCATTTCATAATGGGCTTTCAGGGGATTAGGCTGAAATATTTTGATTTTTTTCACTAGAAAGCTGAAATTTTGCATGGAAAATGCCAACACACGTGAAATAATTTTTCCTTTTTGAGCACATCTACCGTGCAAAATACGCCATGGAGAGCAAAATGTTTTTTATTCCTAACCAGTTTTCATTATGACTGAGCTGACACTTACCAGCAGGATTTCAGTAAACTTTTGACAACTCACACCTTCCCGTGGAACAAAAAGCAACACTGACCAGTTTTCAATCTCTTTTGCAGGTATCTGGGGATCACACGGCCACTGACATACCCTGTAAGACAAAACGGGAAACTAATGGCCAAGATGGTGTTCATAGTTTGGCTTCTCTCTGCCTCCATAACCCTCCCTCCACTGTTTGGCTGGGCCAAGAACGTCAACGTTGAAAGAGTCTGCCTTATCAGCCAGGACTTTGGATACACCATCTACTCCACCGGGGTCGCCTTCTACATCCCCATGACGGTCATGCTTGTCATGTACAGCCGGATCTACAAAGCTGCCAAGGTCAGTGCCGAGAAGCACCACTTCATAAACTTCCCCAGACAGCAGGAGCAGGAGGGGGCGTACTGCATGGACGTCGGCGTCCGAGGCCATCACAGCTCCAAGCGCAGCAAGGCGGTGGAGGAATGCGCCACCTTGTCCAAACTCCTCAGGCAAGATCGAAAGAACATTTCCATCTTCAAACGGGAGCAGAAAGCAGCCAGGACCCTGGGCATTATTGTGGGGGCTTTTACCTTTTGCTGGTTTCCCTTCTTCCTGATGTCCACGGCCCGGCCTTTCATTTGTGGCATCCAGTGTAGCTGCATGCCGTTAAGACTGGAAAGGACCCTGCTGTGGCTGGGTTACACCAACTCCCTTATCAACCCCCTGATCTATGCTTTCTTCAACCGCGACCTGAGGACTACTTTTTGGAACCTTCTGCGATGCAGGTACAGGAACATCAACAGGAGGCTGTCTGCCGCAAGCATGCACGAGGCCTTGAAAGTCACAGAGAGACACGAGGGCATCTTGTAGATCTCCCACAGGGTCACCTTCCCCCCCTAATGCAAGTGACTATCATGAGCGACTAATTAAAGAACTGCCCCTCCATCTCGCCTACTGCAGGGTTGATTGCCAGTCAGGCAGGGCAAATATGGGCAGTGCTGTTTCTTCACCTGAGTTAACCATTGCCAAGATTGCACAAGTGCGTGTAACCCAAGAGGTGTCCCAAGCGCTGAGCAGCAGAGGGTCACAGCTACAACAGAAGAGCTCATAATCCTTCCCTTTTCCTCTTTAAAAGGGAGATGCAGCTCATGGAGATGGCAGTTCATGGCAAGATGTGATGCCTCAGAAGGCAAGTCAGGATCTCCTGCGCACTCTTCCCAATTCTGCCACTGATTGACTGTGTGACCTTGGGCCAGTCATCGTATTGCTCCGTGCCGCAAAGAAAATATAATGGTACCCACCTTTGCAAAAGGCTTTGAGGTCTGCCTGGGGAGGAGAGCATGACATGCTGTTCTTGGATCACAGGCTGCATTTCTGTATCGAACACGAGAGCAGCTATTGAGGGTTGCCTCTCAGCAGGGCACATGTGCAGCTGCACAGAAGAGATTTAAATGCCACCCAACTGATGAGCAGAGTGCCCACAGATAGGGTTATTTTTCAACTGGTGGTGCGTATTCGCACATGCCTCGATGCATGTACATTTATTCCTCACATGGAAAAATCCACATATGGCTGGAAAAGACTAGAGAGACCATTGGCTATGGGGCTGCATTATGGGTGTCAATTAAACCCATTCTAACCATTGTACACTTTGCATCCCTGTTTATAAACAGTTGCAACTGATTTGATTCCATTGCACACTCGCCAGCCAGTTCTAAATTTGCATGGCAAGAAACAGTATCAATGACTCTCTTTCCCCAAGCCCTCGTGTTACAGTACCGGAAACTGGCATGCTTACAAATAACAATGCAAAAACCTCGTCTGTAGTTTGATAGACGTTTAACAGCATATTTATATCAGAGAAACAAAGAGCAAGTAAAGACTTCTGTATTTACTGGGATATATAATATAGTTCATTCTCAGCCAAGTGATGTATTTTCCTAATTTTGTGGCTAATTGATTAATCAAGGCAGTACATAAAAGCATGCTTTGGTTGACAAGAGACAAAAATGTATTATTTCACTGACTGCTTACGCGCTGCACTATAATGTACAGCAAACATGAGAAATATACTGAACAATGTATCACTTTTTAAAAAACAAGTTTATTTATTCCAGTCTAGGTTGTTGTTTTTTTAATGTATTAATACTTTTGTTGCATTTTTCCACCCTTTTCCAGAGCTCTGTTTGGCCCCGAGCCCACACCTACTGAAATCAACTGAAAGAACGTTCAGTGATTTCTCAAGGCTTTGGATCAGGTTTCCTTGTGAATTTAAAATGATTCCTGTCAAGGCTGAAGAAGAGGTTGTACTAATGCATGGCAGCTCATGGACTTTTATTTCATAGAGATTTCCTTTCTTAAGTCCTACAAAAAGTAAGGCAAGACTGATGTATATAGTAAAGGGAGTTCCTGTTACATTGGGAGTGAGAATGCATCTCAAAGTTCTCTTAAGACGAATTCCCTTTAAGCTCCATCAGGTTCATTGACTGTATTTCCATTGACTCAAGATAGCAATTACATCTTAAGTCAATGGAAATATAGTCAGTGAACCTGACGGACACACGATCTGGTCTGAGCGTGAGGGTCTTAGAAGGATCTTTCAAAATACAAAGTCCTGGCCCTATTTAAATCAATAGGAGGAATTTTTTTTTCTGACTTCAAGCTGGGATGGGCAGAGAGATTTACAGAAGTAGTCCTTTCCCCCTCCCATACCAGATCAAACTACCAGCCCCACAAACTCGGTATCCAACCTCCAGAATTGGCTGACAATTATTTAGAGGTTGAGCGCTCCCAAAATGAGCGAGGCACTTTCCAAACGTGTAAGCAGACACAGTTCCTGCCTCAAGAGCATATAATCCACAATGACACAGGTGGACAAAGGGCAGGACATGCCATATACCAATGTAGCTATGTGGATATTGACAGACAGGTGGGTAATTAGTTCAAAGCGTGGGTTTCTTGTAACATGAAACTGACCATGCTCCCCACCCACCCTCCACAATTTGGCCTGCTTGTCTTTTTAGTCACACTGACCCCCCACTTCCAGCTTTGAAGTCTGTATCCTCCCCTGTCCTTCTCCCTTCCCTCCAGCTGGTCACTCTCATGAAATAGCTACACAGGGGCATGTCTACACTAGGGCTACGTCTAGACTGGCCACAAATTCCAGAAAAGGGATGCAAATCAGGTAAGTCAGCATAGGGAAATCCGCGGGGGATTTAAATATCCCCCACGGATTTAAATAAACATGTCCGCCGCTTTTTTTCCGGCTTGGGGAAAAGCTGGAAAAAAAGCATCTAGACTGGCGCGATCCTCCGGAATAAAGCCCTTTTCCGGAGGATCTCTTATTCTTGAAATGTTAGTGAACCAGTGACAGTATGCAAAAAACAGTATCCAATCCATCCAACATTTCCGGCTTGGGGAAAAGCCAGAAAAAAAGCGTCTAGACTGGCGCGATCCTCCGGAATAAAGCCCTTTTCCGGAGGATCTCTTATTCCTACCTTTATTCCGGAGGATCGCGCCAGTCTAGACGCTTTTTTTCCGGCTTTTCCCCAAGCCGGAAAAAAAGCGGCAGACATGTTTATTTAAATCCGCGGGGGATATTTAAATCCCCCGCGGATTTCCCTATGCTGACTTACCTGATTTGCATCCCTTTTCCGGAATTTGTGGCCAGTCTAGACGTAGCCATGGAAATTATTTTGAAAGAACTAAATTTGAAATAATAACTCCCGAAATAACAAAATCGAAATAGCGATTCCCCATGATGCAGGAGCCTTGAAATTAGTCCGAGGCAGGCTCCGTTATTGTGGATGCGCTACCTCAGTATGGAAGCACTGGGGAGTAAATAGTTTGAATTACTCTGGGGAGTTGTTTTTTGGAAATAGCAGCTGCGGCGTGTCCACACTACTTAAATCCCAGGCTTCATTTGCAAGTTCGAATGCCTACATTAGCCACCCTAGTTCGAACTAGGGTGGCAGTGTAGACATACCCTGAACTATTCAATAACTATTTTGAAATAAGCGTTATTCCCCGAGGAAAGCAGGAGTACGAATTTCGAAATAACCAGCCCATTATTTCAAAATAGCGGGCTTGGTAGTGTGGACGCTTCGCTTATTATTTTGAAATAAGGGGGGTTATTTTGAAATAACTCCCTCGTGTAGACCAGGGCTCGATGATTTACTGATGTAAGATGTGCAAGCGCCCCTCTCTCTGCTGGGCACCAAAGTAAAGCTAAGATCCTGGTCTGATATAGGTGTTCTGGGGTATAAGACAGACAAGGGATCCTCTTTCATTCTAGAGTCCTTTTATGGAAGCCACATGGTACACCGCGTTGACGGCTATGCAGATGCTCTAGCTGAGGTATCCATGGTGTTTCATGGTACAGTAGTGAGGATAGTAGACCCTTAGTCCCACGAAAAGAAGCAGCGGAACAAAAAACAGCAGACACGGTCGGGGACATCACGTTTATTTTTCTGTTTGCTGCCAGTTTTAGCAGAGGATGTGTCTGAATTGTACTGTCCTTGTCATGAGGAGATTGTAAAACTCTGGGGTGAGGCTGTTTTCACCCATCCATCCATGCGAAGGCAAACACACTGTGGGTATGTCTACATTGCCACCCTAGTTCGAACTAGGGTGGCAGTGTAGACATACCCACAGTGTGTTTGCCTTCGCATGGATGGATGGGTGAAAACAGCCTCACCCCAGAGTTTTACAATCTCCTCATGACAAGGACAGTACAATTCAGACACATCCTCTGCTAAAACTGGCAGCAAACAGAAAAATAAACGTGATGTCCCCGACCGTGTCTGCTGTTTTTTGTTCCGCTGCTTCTTTTCTTCGGAATCTTTTCCCTGCCTTGTGTTTTCCTCGCCCGACAAAACGTCTCCGACAACGTCCCTCCCTGTGCTTTTGCCACCTGTTTCTTCCAGAGCGAGGCAGGACAAGAGTTGATTGGGCTGGAGCTGATACATGGTCTCCAAACTTCAAGGAGGTGGAGGGATTCCCTTCACATCTCATCCCAGCACTTCCCATTTCAGGCCATCGATTCTAGTGCACGAGGGATTTTAGGCAGAGTGGGCTGCAAATGGCCAATCTGGAGTTGGTTGCCAATTACGGGAAGGGGGTCAGATGACCAGTGGGGCAGCGGGGAGGTGGCTAAGGCAGGCTACCTGTCTGTCCTAGAGGTGCAGACCCAGAAGCCCACAGGGGCTGCCCTGAGCATGGCTCCTCAGCTCCTCAGCTGCCATGCTGGCCACTTGCTGGGAGCCACCTGAGGTCAGCGTTGCCCAGAGCCCACACCCTGACCCCCTTCCTGGACCCCAACTTCTGCGCCAGCTCCAAACCCCGTCCTGCACTCCATACTCCTCCCAACTTTCCTGCTCCAACCCTGCGCCCTACTGCAATCTGAATCCATTGGCCCCAGCCTGGAGGCCCCTCTTGCCCCCCAAACCTCTTCTACTCTGGGGCTCCTACTCTGCACAGTGCAGCTTGGTCTTGGCTCTCTCAGCCCCAGTGCTGTGGGAAGGGTGGGGCGTAGTGGCTCTGGGTACGTGACCTTCAGTCACACACACCCAGAAGAGTCCCTGGCGTGAGGGGCGAGCCAGGAGCAATGGGGCCCAGCCATGCCCAGCTCAGTGTGTGGGCACTGTTTACAAACTGGCAGGCACCAGACGCACATGGGCCCACTTGGCTCAGTGATGCTGCCCTGCCCCCCAGCCCCTCACAGGCTGGC